GAACTCTAGAGTGAGAGCTAGTATCTTCCTTGTCTAGCCGGTCTTCAGAACTATTCAAACTTTAAATTAGCCAATGTTTTTTATAGCATCTCTAGTAAGGGTAAGGAATATTATTGCTCCTATTTGACATAACACAATTTGCATACTTCTACAATATAATCCCTATTACTTATTAGTGATTCCTGACAAGAAGAAAGATATTTTTCATCTTTAGTGTCTTTCTTCTGTAAATACTCTAGTTATCTTTTTATCTTTGTTCTATTTTTGTCAAAATATTAAAATTAAATAAAATATTTAAACTTTCTTTACTACGAAAATGTCTTTAGGTTAAATAATTGTCTTTTTAAAAATAGAAAGTTTCCAAAAAGTGCATATTGCATATCTTCCCAATGACTTCGATATTCAGGTCTTAATAAAAAAGTTCTATATTAGTTGATAACGATATGTATACTTGCATATTATCCCAATATAAATTAAATTAAAAGTTAAATTCTTATTTTTCTTATTTTTCTTCAGGTTCAAATTTTTGCTTTTGATGCGAAATAAGGAAAGTATGAGTGAAAAATATAATCAGAATTATTGTTATACTGATGCAAATAAGCAGTTATCGAGGAAATAAGCAGTTATCGAGGATCATTGACCTATCCCAGGTTGTTGGTTAAGGCTTTTGCTGGACGACCGTAACCTGTTATGGAAGAGGTCGAAAGAAATCCACCAAGGATTTTTGACCTATTCGAGGCTTTACGTCAAAACCTTTGCTTGAAGACTGTAGCTTGTAATAGAAGAGGTCGAACCGAGTCCCCCTGAGATCGATTAATCCTAGAATGAGGTGTCAGAGATGCTCTCGAAACTGGAGTGTAGGTTGCAATTGACCGTAAGTTTTCTTGGAAATATTGTTGCAGTCATACTAAAAAAAATGTTTTACAACTTGTAAATTGTTGCTTTTGAATTTTTGGCCCCTCAACAAGGGTGCTTTCCAAGTGAACTTGTAAAATAATCTATGTATGGAGCCTTGAAGAGATCAACTTCCTGATCTGGTTGAAGAGGAACTCAAATATGATGAGGGCCGCTGAGGAGGCGTTATTTGCTGTGAAAATTTTCTGCCAGTACGTGAGCGGTTTTCGTAGGCTTGTAATCATAATGAAATGTGGGATGACATCCCCACCATAATCGTACCCAGGATGTTAACAGAAACGACCCTTTTAGACTGCAGTGAAGTTTGCCCCCATCCTGGAAGAACTTGTGAAATACTTTATGTCTAAAAAAGATGTGAGAAGACAACCCCATCCTGGAAGAACTTGTGAAATACTTTATGTCTAAAAAAGATGTGTGAAGTTTGCCCGGGACGTTGACATGAACGACCTATTGAGATTGTAGTGAAGATTGCGCCAACCTGGAAGAAGTTGTGACATGCTTTGTGTTTGAATATGATGCGAGAAGATAACCCCATTTGAGATTGTAGTGAAGATTGCGCCCAACCTGGAAGAAGTTGTGACATACTTTGTGTTTGAATATGATGCGAGAAGATAACCCCACTACAATCGTGTCTGGGACGTTGACGTGATCGAACTTTTGAGATTGCAATGAAGGTTGCCCCCCACATTGAAGAATGCTTTGGAGAAGACCTTCAAGATGCAAAGAAGATCCCTTTGCCAATTGCATGATCTACATCATCGGAAAATGGAGTAGGGATTCGATGTCTCAGAGCTGAAGACACTTTCAAATGGTGCTTCGTTTGCCATAGACGACGCGAAAGTGATGCATGCTAGAAAATTCGCGGCGGTAGTGTAACAGATTATTGTCTTAGCGTTGTACAAAAGTTCAGCCACACACAGATGAAAGAGAAACAAGAGGTAATCACACCTGAAGTTTTTTCATGGAAAAGCCGTAAGGGAAAAATCACGGGGCCTGACTCAGTTGCGAAAATCCACTATTGATTGATGATTACAGAAATCTCTTGTCTCACAAATAGGAAAGGGTAATTATATTTTTTAGATTACAACGTCAACTGACGACATCTGGTTGGTGGTGATCAATGGTGGTTAGTAGTGGTCGATGATGATTGGCAGAGGTCGACGACGGTCGACGGTGGCCTTCAGCAGTCGGCGGTGGCCTTCTGCGGTCGGCGGTGGTCGACGACGGAGGTCGGCAGTGGTCGACGACGATTGACGGAGATGCTGAGTTGCAGCTTCTCCTCAAGGACTCAGGCTCTATCTCTAGACTTCAGCTTCCCCTCATATGAGAGGTGGGGGTCTATTTATAGTGTTTTGGGTGCAATTAATGCATAAACCATTTTGATCTGACAGTTCAGAGAGTTTCCTTCGATCATGCGGAGTATAATGAATATTTGAGTGCTTTAACGATGTCAGAATTAAGTGATCTTGGGCTCGTTGGATTTGTCTTGTCAAACCGCTCGATTCAAGTATAAACTTGCTAGTGTCGATATCTGTTTGACCTTCCAAATGTGTCTGAAAAACTTCCAAACATAAATAATCCTTTCAAGGGCTGTTTAATGACTTGATCTGAGCTTGATTTGACTCGTATTGAACTAGTTTTTAGATCATTAGGTCTGTCTCATTGAGCCGATCAGTTTGACTATACATTTACTGAAATAGGAGCTCTGGATGAATTTTTATCAAGATTTGAATTTTTCTTGCTCAAAATATCATCTCAGGATCTGTGTCATATCTCGAGATTCGTGTCAAATGATAAAAATTAATCTGTGGCGTATCACACTCAAATGTCATTTCTTTTTGAAAAATGTTCTCACACGTGCAACCACCAAAATTATTTACAATAATATTTAATATTTTTTGTTAGAATAAATCTAAAATATAAAATTAAAATGTTCGAAAGAAAAAAAAAATTTATGAAAATTTAATTGTAAGAAATACTTTTAACTTTATTTTAAGTATTTTGATTTTATTTTTTGAATTTACATGTCTAACACCTAAACATGCATTTTTACATGTGTAGCACTCAAATCAACATCAAAATAAAAAATATATCACGGACAACACTTTTAAATTTGATTTTTTCAAAAGGAACAGTTGTTTATAAAAGAACCCATTTTAAACTGAATTCCTCCACAACAACTTCTAAATTGAGACAACTATAGTCAAAATAAACACACCCTAAATTAAAATAAATTCAATAAATTAAATGAATGGGGGTGCATTTGAGAACATGTCAACAAATTCAAGATCAAAACTAATTGTAACCAAAAATTTTTTTTATTATTGAGTTAGCCATAAATGAGAACAAGGTTCAAAAAATAAAAATAAAAATGAGTTTGAGTTAATAATGGAAAAAATTAATTAATTAATTAATTTGTTAAACCTTTTTTGCTCCAACTCCACGAGATCAGCTCCACCCAAGTTAAAAAATGAACTTTTAATTCTTAAAAGTTCTTTTCAACACCTTCATTTTCAAGCTATTAATGTAAAGCTTAATTATGATTCCATAGATAAATAAGAGAAATATTCTTTTCATTTTGTTCATGCTTGTGTATATAATCTTATAAATCGAATTTGACATCATATTAATGGTCCAACAGAACAATACAACACTAAGACAGATGATGAGAACCTAAATACAGAAAAAAATAAAGCAAAAATTAGAGGTAGCTTTGGACGTTTTTGCTTTATTTTTTATAATTTAAAAAATGAAATAGAAAATTATAATGAACTTTTTTGCAAAAGTTTGAATCACAGTATTCTAAGATTTAGGCGTTTGAAAAATTTACATACATACCACTCAACTTAGACGTAATTACATATTTAACGCTTAAATCTCAATTTTGACATAATGAGTTTTTCTTAGTATAAAAGAAGTATTTCACTTTTTTTTAAATCGAAATGGTGATATTTTTAATGTGTTAAAGATAAAATTAGATGATATTAGCATAAAATATAAAATTAAGTGTTAGGTATGTAGATACTTAGAAATTGGGCGGCATGTGTCCATATATGTCGGTGGTAATGAAAAAAGGATGCGATCCATTTTCGGTATACACAATCAATTCCATCAACGGAATCTTACATGAAAAATGGCAGCAGCCGCTATCATGAGCCGCAGAGCTTGCCAGACGCATCTCCCTCTCCGTTTCTTTTCCTCTCTCACCCTATCTCCCGCCGTTCGATCCTCTTCCGCGACTTCGTCGTCGCCGAATCTGAATCTGGACGACACCGAGAAGCTCTATGCCTCGGTGCCGACAGGAGACTTGCTGTCATCGCTTGGATTGCTCTACACGATGGCAGTGGGGCCGGCGGTGGACCTGGGGATGGCGGTGATGCGGTCGCCGGCGGTGATGGAAAAGCGTTTGCTGCGTGCGGCGGTTGTGGGAGTAGTGCGGCGGACGGTGTACCGGCAGTTCTGCGCAGGGGAGGATGCGGGGGAGGTGGGGCGGAGGCTTGGTCGGCTATGGGAAAGCGGGCTGAGGGCGATAGTTAATTATGGGATGGAGGATGCGGAAGATGACACTGCATCCGATCGGAATCTCGCCGGATTTGTTAAGACTGTCGAGATGACGGCGGAGATGCCGCCGGATTCGGTGAGTGCTTTCTGCCTCATGCTTTTTGGATTACTCTGGGATTTTTAATTGAATTTTAGGGTAAATTTTTCGGGTTAATGCTTTGTAAATAATTAGAGTAGACTAATTTAGTGGTTTGGAACTCTATGAGACCGGTTCAATTGTGCACCGGTAGGTGGCCCAATCCGAGCTTCTAAGTCAGTCATTTTTACGATAAACAATTTCAAACTGCTTTAAACCACCAACTCAACTATAGGTGAGAAAAGTTTTAAATAGATAGAGATGTCCGATCAGAATTTCGTGGATCTGTTGTCCCAAGCTATTAAGTAGTCGACCCAAATCAATTAGGAACCCCTTGCCAGCACACCCATGTGTTGTGTTGCCCAAGGTAGCTCAATAGCTTTAAACTCGGAGGATAAAAGCGTCTAAGCTCATAAAAATTTATCTAGATTGAAAAGAGCAGAACTTACACCCTCCAAAGATGTGACAAGGATTTCAACATAGTGGAAAGAAAGTGAATGACTTGGTCAGCAAGACCAAAACCGCCCTACAAAGGATGTACACTCCCGTATGGTTCAGAACAAGCTTTAACACCCTAAAACTTGTTAGGCTGTCACAACATTTGTTTGGCCATTCGATTTGGATAAGTGAGAACACTTTCTCTAAGGACATACAATATGATATGCAATATTATCTAGAGTAGTTCTAAGCATAAATTTCCTATTAATACGCTTCGGAAACATAGTCATTATCATTTTAAAACTAGCTCGAGAGACATTTAGGAAAGTAAATATTATAAATAAAATCGTCATTTTAAATTATTACGAAATTTAATCCTAAATTTTATTTGATTAAATCCTTTAAGTTAAACTTTTGTAGATTTACACTAAAGAGCTTAATCACATGTGAATCGAGACAAACTAAATCCATAAATGGGCAAAAATATTTATCACATGTGTGCAATAAAGTAAACACATCAAATATAAATAAATAGAGGTCAGGTGTCTTTGAGTTAGTAACCTATCCGAGAAAAGAAAAATGACGATCGGGTTTCATATAATACATGTCCGATTTTAAATCTATATAATAAGCAGAATTTAGAATTGAAGTATGAAACACGAACTTCTGCTATTGGTCCTCGTCACATAATCTCCGCACAGTAGGCTCCCCAGGACTCGTGGTCGTAATTTATTTCCAATATTAATTTTCCTCACTTTAAAAGTACAAAAGAAAACTTGAAAAAAGAAAAAAGAAGAATCAGCCTACAAAAAAAAAAATGGTTTTCACATGCAATATATAATAACCCAAGCCAAGTGAAGTGAGCGAACATCTATACAATGCTTATAGAAAATGTGTTAGTTCAATTTAATGATTAAGCTTCTCCCCGTTAAACCTAGCTTCTTGTAAGAAAAACTGCCTTAATATACTAATCTACACATCTAAACTCGATAAATACACAAAAACAACATGGAAATGCAATAGCTAGCACAAAATCCATAACAATAACTCAACTATGAAAATCTAACTATACATTTGCCCTAGTTCTAAACAAGCATTTATAAAGTGACATCTAAACATACATCTATGTGACATTCATACAATACAAGGTTAAGAGTCTTTCCTGTAGGATCTTGATGGGGCAGCAAGACTTATTCTGTCCCGAGCATCTGAATGAGCTAACACTCATCACACCAAGCAAGAATTGTTAACTAATATCTATGCTAGGAATAATCCTACAAGATCTGTTAGTAGTAGGATAATTCATATTACCTACTTGAACAAGCTTGTAGGTAAGGCTCATTTTCATATTACCATTGTATGTCACACTAGGATCTAAAAAGTCCCGCTAGTGATGTGTTGATTTACACAATCTGGACGTATATGGAAATGTGGGAGAACTTACTCGGACAAATTGAGCATCAGATTGCATATAAATGAACAAAATCAGGTGCCTTGGAAACTAAATCCCAATTTCATAAAACAAAAGGTTGATGTGCTCAGAGGAATGCAACGTATGTGTCAAATACATGCAAATAATGCAACACAAGCAAACATATGATCAAACACATGACGGGTTATACAATGCATATAAATTGCTAACCCGAATAAGAAGGATAGCACAATTGGATTGAATGGACAACCTGGGGTATCGGCCTTCTGTCCTAGAAAAGGACAAAACTGGGGTTGCGATGCCAATGGGGCGATGTCGAGGCACCTAACACAGTTACTCTAAGCATAATGATGGGAGAAAAATCAAACATGATATGCCAACAAATATAAAACTCATGCAAACATGCCAGTATAGATAATTAAAAGTGAGTACACTTGTATAATCACAAAATGTATACTTGCATTAAATGGTGGAAACCATTCTGAGGAATGATACCACAGAGCTATGAAAGTGGCATTGTAATATTAAACCTTTGATTTGAATAAAGATAAGAGCTGGCTACTCCATGTCATTTGTAGCACCATAGTGCTAGCCCATGTTAACCCCCAAATTAAAAGGTGACAGTGCTGACATGCTACATCTAATGCACCTAAACAAACCTAACTAATAGCAGGACTTAAATAACTATCTTAATGCCTCATTGAGTGGTTTGGGGGTTTCGATCAAAATAATAGGAACAAAATTTATGATATCTTAGTCGAAAACATTGAGCCCACAATCAGCCTGGTAGGTGTAGTCGGCAAAATACAGATCGCCACTTTTACAAAAAGGTGCAAGGCCCAAGGTCATGACCAAAAAAGGCACGAGCTCGCACCAGTTTGACACCATCAAACTTGCCTATTGAATGAATTAAAAGGATGAGCGACCGCCACCCCTACAAATGGGTGCAACAAGTAGTTTAAGGTAAAAATCCTATGTCAAGAGCCAAGTAAGGATCGAAATTACAACTGCTCAACAAAAGTCTCGAATGTGACAAGATGACCAAATGATCTGTGGTCGTTAAACTGCAGAATATGTGGTGAACAAACTATGCATCAACAAGAAAGAAATCCTCAAGTAAGCCTCAGTGTTCCGGTGCAAAAAAGTGGCTCTGCAGCCTTGAGGCAACAACAACGGTGACTTAGCTCGGTTAACGGGGCCATAATGGTAGGCTAGAATGTGCAAATCCAGAGACATGGTGCTATCAATAGCACCACAGCTATTGGCTCAGTATTTCCAAAGGCATTGAGAACATTGTTTGACTCTCAAAGAATCAAACATAAAGTCTGTTGAGGCTGTGACACTAAAAAAATAAGGCATGACGCCGCGACACAACTAAGTGGTGTTGTAGAGTGGTACCTACTCGAAGGGTAGGTGTCATGACATTGTGAAGACAATGTTGTAGGGTTTTGCCAAAAGGAAAAGATTGTGACACCTAAGCACCAGGAAGCGACGCTGAGGCATTATACTTATAAATTAGGTTTAGTGTGTGGTCTCCGAACAGTGTTGTGGCGTCAGGGCTAAAGCAGAGAGGGTACAACTACTTAGTTGCTTAAAGAAAAGACGGGGAGGCGGTGAGGGGACAAAGATATTTTATAACCTACCAGGGAACATTCTACTACCTCTAGCCCGTGTCAGTGGGGGATTGTCCTTTTTTTTAGCGCCATGGTGCTATACCTCGTAATTATAACACCATTGACATGGTTGAAAAGATAAAAAATCATGCTCCAAAACACTGACACATGCCAGCATGGCACCGGGAAGTCATTAGAGACACTATGACTTTGCTCTTAGGATCAAAAAGTTTTTTGACTTACTAGGTGTCACACTGTGGCATGCCCATGTGGCACTACGGCTTTGCCACAGACAATGTGGCCCAAAGTATTGACATTAATCTTGGATAGCACCGTGGCACCAACTTTGGCTCTACGACACTATCGATTAATCCAAAAGGCTAATTGAAAAGATAATTGTAGTGCCTTGGCACCGTGCTTGGTTCTTGAGGGACAAAAAATGTGGGTGTTATGGAGTCATAAAGTAGCACTGCAACCCTAAAATTAAATCTTGAGATATCTAACTCTCAGGTTCCTCCATTTTGAAGCTTTGGACTTTGGCACAACGACCACTAAGGTGTGGTGCTTAGGCACAGACAACGGCGCCTCGACGCCCTAATTAAATCTTGAGAGGTGAAATCTTGTGTACCTTCATGCCTCAGAGCTACAAAAAAAGCCCCTGTGCTGATCCTGCGACTCCTGGCCATTAGGCTAGAGAATCACGTCACTTGACCAAAACTTAACATTTTTTTATTTGATTCTAGATATACAAACACTTGTGAACAACCAAAACATTAAAATCAATTTGACAAAGCAACATTTTTATTGAAAAAAATGAGTCATTACATAGATATAAAAATGTGAATAGTAGAATTACATTTGAAGAAAATAAAATCAAACAAGGGAAACGAGGAGCATAGTATTCTTCCATCATATTATCACTTTCTCATCGTTTCTGCTTATCATCTTGCTTGGCTTGTCCTATGACAATAATGTATGTTGCATGGATCAGGGAGGCTAGAGAGGTTTGCACCGAAGTACCTTTCGAAGACTCTGGCTTGCCACTCAAACTAACTAGCCTAGCAGACATACTACTGGCTTTGCTAATTCTATAAGTAGTCGATGTGGCGATTGAGGGTGGAAACTCTTCCAGAGCTCTTTAATCTACTCGGCAGTGGAGTAGAGGTTTTAAGAGGAAGACTTAGTAGGGGAGATAGGGTTAGGCTCCATGGTCCCCTTGTTAGAGTGGATTGGTTACAACCGTAATGGAAATTTTTAGGTTGAACCGTGCCTCCGCTTATTGATTAAGACTCCCACATTTACATAAAGAGCATATATTACTGCCGGGTGGCTTACTGATATATCCTAAAACATGCATAATTTCCTTTGTCTCTTACACTTGTTTTTGATGAAACTGCACTAGAAAAAAATATATTTTTTGTGTTTTTCTTGTAGGTATAACAACTAGGACACATGGAACGAAGCAAAGCTTAAATGGAGCAAAAATGAGCTGAGATGGAGCAAGGAGTTCATCATGTCTGGCGCCTAGGCGCGCCATAATTTAGATGCCAAGTCGCTTGAGCGCCTTAACGCCACTTCTGTGGTACCTAGGTGCTAGAATCCAGGCACCAAATAATGAACTTGGTGCTTAGATGCCAACATTTGAGCTCTAAGGCACTCCCCTCTAGCGCCTTTGAGCCAGTCTCAGATGCCTAGGCACCCAAACTACCCGAGATTGTTTTTGTAGTTCATTACACATGAATTGGGGAGTTACACGAACTGGGGAGTTAAAGGGGAGTGCTGAGCAGTTTGAACGAAGAGCCCCCGATGAAGATTTGGAGTATGGGTCGAGAAAAAAACTTGGGAGAAGTGGAGAGAAGCCAAGGAAGCTTCTTTTCTTGAGTGATTCGTGAGGGATTTTGAAAGAATATTGTATAATAATCAATTCAGCAGGGCATAGAGAACTTGGATCCAGTGTTGGAGGAACTTTTCATCTCTTTTTAGAGGAGGAAAGATAAGTATCATCTTTTTATTTGTCTTGTAATTGTTGTAAACACATGTTTAGGGGATTTGCTTTGTTATTTGATGAGATTTATATGATGTTTTTCATGCTTAGTGGGTAGATTTCTTTTACCTTTCTATTGTGATGTATATGTAGAAATTGTAGGATGTGAGGATGCTTATAGAATTGATCTTTTAAACTTAATGTAATGGTTTATATCTTCATGCTTAATTTACTTATCAATCTGGCCAATTGGTATGTTAAAACCTGTTGTGAACCCATAAAGACCTAGGAGGGCTATGACCTTCTCAACTAAGAAGAACCACATTGAACTAATGGGTGAAGGAAAAGTAATCTATAAAATAATGCAAATAGATAGGGAGAGAGAGTTTTAAGGGTTTAACTTAGGGGTTTCTAGGGTTACAGGCAGAAGCACATACTGAGTTAAACCAAACTTCCTTACGCACTCAAAAGAGGGTAAACAAGATATATGCTCCTAATTGTCACTAGCCACATTAGATTTTTAGTATTCGATTCTAGATTCCACTTATGCACTCACAAGGGAATGATCACTTTCATATCTTGATCTTTACCAAACCAGTTAAAATAGTTAATTAGCTTTAAACTTAGTGTAATAATTTTGGAGCAATTGTTAGAAATACCACTTTAAATTACATTCTAAACTAAGACCCTAGGCTAGTAGACTAGAACTTCTCTTATTAGAGTAATTATCTCCTTACCTGTGGGATCGAAGTCCAGACTGCATAGAGACCTATATTATTAAAACGATACATATATTTGTGTGAGAAACTCCAGTGTGTAAGAATATCTCATTTTAAGAGCTTGATAAAATTACTAAGGAGTGGATCAAGTTTCTGGTGCAATTATCTGGAATTTATTGTGACAATCGCCTGGGGTGGATCATCTGCCTAGATAGTCATGCTACCCTAAGCCAGGTACTGAATGGAGCTTTGATAAACACAATCAGTGTTGACTATAAGTTCTTTATGGGTGGCATAGTTCAACACGATGCGATCACTGGTTACCTCATTCATGTGGTACCTCGTTAAAAACTTTGAAAAAATAAACTTGTGCCAGGTTTTAGAATAGTTGGGCAGAACGTTGGCAGAAAAAAATAAGAATTTTTATGTCATGTTCATTTCAATGATCCCCTAAATTGGGTTGCGTTAGATAACATAGGACCATATCAAAGTTAGAACCTTCATCCAGAAATTGACTATAATAAATAGCGTATCCAGCTAAGTCCAGTAAACTATTGATGGTTGAAATTTCATAGGGGACATTTTCTAACTATTTCTAATAAATTCTCATACTCTTTTGTATCAGTTGCCACATTGCTTTTACAAATAAAAATACAAAAATAGCATCATTATTTTTCATTTTTATTGAACCATGGATAACTTGTTTATGTGCAAGAATGGTGGAAAGTACATGCTAAGACTAATAAATTTGAGCAAAACACTATATCTCAAGCCATGATCAAAATTCTTACAAATGAAAACAAATGAAATTATTTGATAAAAATTTGAATTAATAAATAATCATGTGTAAATTTGGGTTCAAATGTTTGAATGTTTCGACATTGATTGGACAAGTCCCTCTGCACTTTAAGAGGGACCTTGAATCCTTCTTACATTCAAGTAGGGTTGTTAGAAATTTGTTGTTAGTGAACAACTTATGTTCGACTCTTTATGTAGCTCATGCTCAATTTTTTCGTTAATCAAGCAAGTTGAGCAAAAATAATTTTTTGAGGCAATTTTAAATAAACCAAATTTAAATAAAGCTTTATTCAATCCTCTTTGGCTCATTTTATCTTGAATTAATTACAAAATTAAAGAAATAATATTTTATAGTATGTCTATGCTGTATTTAAAAATAATAAATTTAAATATTTTTAAAATATTTGAGCTATTAGATCCAAACATAAAGTGAAATAATTAAATGAATTTAAATTAGCCTGAGCATAAATTTGTTATTTATGAGCCATTTTGAAACATAAGTCTATTTCAACTTTTTTGTTTGAATTAGCGGAGCATAAATAAGCACTAGGCTCGCTTAGGTCCCATTTAGGCCAGCTTATTTGGTGCGGTGCGTTTTGAAAACGCACCCAAAACAATTTGTGTAAACTGCGTTTTGGTAGCTTATTCAAGAAGCTGCGCTTTCAAACCGTTGAAATTAGCATTTTCCCACCATTCCTGACTAGTGCGGCAACAACTTTCTAGTTGCAGTCTGGCTTTCCCAAAAAAAAAAAAAAATTAAATAAATTTATAATAGCCACCGTAGTTTTTTGAACAACAAATTATTTTGTAGCAACTTATCAGCAGAAAAACCCTTAATCTCAACTAGTTTATACTCCTAATATCAAGAAAAAATTGTTGTTTGTCATTTAGAGGAAAGTGCAAAGAGAGTTATGGAAGAAGTGAAGCACCATCACGAATAGTGATAGAAATAATAGAGGGTTTCATGAAGCCCTAATTAGTCAAAACTAAACCTTCATATTTGATTTAAGAAAAGAATTATTCTAGCCAAAGAAATATATTTAACTTTTAAAAATGTAAATCACTAAAAAATTATCACCCTAAGAGACTTGAGACCCACCTTTACAGAGAAATTATTTAGTAAACTAAAAACGACATTAGAATGATAAAAATAGACCTTATTTTAAACATGTAAGTATTTGGAGATTAACTTTTCATATTTTTTTTACTAACCACCACCCTCTTCTTCTTTCACCATAAAAATTATTGAGAGTAATTATATAATTGTGAAATTTTTAATTATTTTATAGCCATTGCATGTATGAAAAGCTTACAGTGGCATAGTGAAATTCTTTAATATCATAGCTTTACACAAAAATCCAACTCAAACATTGATAAAATAAGTTTTCTATAGAAGATATTAAATTTTTTAAATGCAAAACTAAAAAAAAGTTACATTTTTTAGTTGAGTTGAAATAATTATACTAATGTATTTCATAGTCACAAATGATGTTTTTTTGTAATTGAAGAAAGCATTGACACAACGTAGTAGACTTGAGTTACATGAATAAAATAAACTTTATGTTTAAATTTAGAGGAGTCTTGAGATGTTGAAGTTGTCCTCAAGAGTTCATTTGTAATATGTTCGCCCATCTCCCATAAAGAGTGTAGAGCATGAACAAAAAAATTTAGTACAAATACTAGCTATGAAATCATATGTCAATGTTAATCAATAGAACGCATCTATTTTATTGGTGATGACATATTTTGTTTAGTTGAATTAATTCTACTAATGTATTTCATACTCACAAATGATGTTTTTTGTAATTGAAGAAAGCAATAACACAACGTACTAGAATTGAGTTGCATGTATAAAATAAACTTTATTATGAAATTCAGAGGAGTCTTGAGATGTTGAAGTTGTCCTCATGAGTGTGTTTGTAATTTGTTCGTCCCTCTCCCATGAAGATTGAAAAGCATGAACAAAAAAAATTAGTACAAATATTGACTTTGATGTCAATGTCACTGTTAATCAATAGAATACTTTTATTTTATTGGTGATGATGTACACCAATATTCTTGGTGAAGATTGAAAGCAAAGTTGGTGGGTGTTGATGTTGGTATCACGACATGCATCAACCATATAAAATGATTGCGTATGTCGATGGTGTGATTTGGGCCAACCGATGATAATATATGTTGACGACATATATCAATCTTATAAGCTATAGCAAGTGAAACAGTTGGAAGGCAATGATTTTATCAAGTGATGGTTAGGAAATTTCATATTTGGAGGAGAACTATAACATGGTGACTATAAACAGGGGACTATAATCAGTCACCGATGGTTGGGGGACCATAGTCGGGGATAGTGATCAGGCAATAATTGTAGTGCGACGACGATTTTCAGGTGATCAATTTTGAGCTATAATAATTAGGCAATCATAGTTGAGTGATGGTGATCAAACAACTATAATCATGTGACCATAATAAATAGAGAACATAGGTTGGGCAATGGTAGTCGGGTGGCAACTATGAAACTATGGACATCAGACAATGGTAATTTTAGTGGTTTTCTAATGTTACTCAATGATAGTGATTCGGCAAGTGTTTGCGAATGATAGTATTCTATATTTGAAGGTGATAGGACAAATTAATTTTATGGATGCACAAAATAATTTTCTTATTTAGTACTGAACATGGTATGACGTTTACTTGCGACCTTTTTTTTTTGGAAACCATCGATTCATTTCTGCATTTTTCATTTTTGCAACAGGTGAGCTTTGCCTGTGTGAAAATTACGGCTATCTGCCCCATCCCTCTCCTTGAACGCATAAGCGACCTCCTCCGCTGGGAAAAAAAACACCCCTCCTTTCACCTCCCATGGAAGCGGCCCTCCCTCCCCATCCTCACCAACTTCAGCCTTCTTCACCACCCCCTCCCCGCTCCTCCCCCATCCCTCACCTCAGAAGAAGAACTCCAACTCCAACTCGCTCACTCCAGACTCCTTACTCTCTGCAAGCGCTGCGCGGAGTCCAATCTCCCTCTCCTAGTCGACGCCGAGTACGCATCCGTGCAGCCTGCCATCGAGTACATGACATATTCCGCCGCGCTCGAGTTCAACACTACTGCCGAGAGACGGCGGCCAATCGTTTACGGGACGATGCAATGTTATTTGAAGGATGCAAAGGAGAGGTTGGTTCAGGCAGTTGAGGCAGCGGAGTCGGCGGGGATTTCAATCGGATTTAAGCTGGTGAGAGGGGCTTATTTGTCGCGGGAGAGTGTTTTGGCCAAGTCTCTGGGAGTGGCGTCTCCGATTCATGAGACTATTGAAGAGACGCACAATTGTTATAATGATTGCGCCGCATTTATGCTTGAGAGGATGTTGAAGGGATCGGCTTCGGTTGTGCTCGCCACCCACAATTTTGATTCAGGTAGTTTTTTTTTTATTTTTTTATTTTTATCTGAGCTGTGGAATTACATCTGATATAATTTGTGCCAGGAGTTCAATAATGAAGAGTCCAATAATGAAGCGTCACATATCAAATGAGCTCCACCACAATTTAGTCAGTGTTAAAAATGATGAGATCCACCTAAGAAGTGGTGCCCCATTGACTCAGATGTAATCTTTTTTATCGTAACAAAGAGCTTGTAACTGTACGCGTGTTATCTTTGTTTTAGTCATCTTTTGGATATTATTACCTTCCGTGAAGTGCATGCCTGGACAATCGTGATGATCCGGTTATGATATTGTGCATTTCATGTCGTCAGATTGTCACCGATGTCCGCACGTACAGGCACGGGACGTAAAAGTTTCTCTTTTGGACGGTTTAGACTGAATTATTTTTCTGAGTTTTAAATTTATTTAATTTTTATGAATTAATTTCAGCCATTTAGTTGGCTGACATGGGAGGACAACTTACGTTCATGTACATGATAATTATAGGGGATCTGAACGATGAAGATGATGACTTGTAGGTACAAGTGATTGATTCTAGAAGAATACTAACTTCATTATAAATTTATAAAATGAAAAGGTTTAGAAATTATTTATAATAGTATCAGTAAAAACTTTGTGATGGGATTTCTATCTTTTTTATTTGGGTTCATTACAATCTACTAGATGAAGACTACGTGTGCTCATTAACTACGAAATGAACACAAAGAAGACTTGAGTTGTTAATGAGGTGAAAGGATTTTTTGTTTGTATATTGTTTATTTATTATCAAGCTAAAAAGAGCTAAATTTATCATTCTGAATTTTTATAGCATAGAAATGAGTTTCTAGTATCGTCCATCGTAAAAATGCTAGTTTATAATTTCAAAAATAATGGTTGGTGGTTGCAGGGAGGGCTGCAGCGGCTAAGGCAGAGGAGCTGGGAATAGGGAAAGGGGACCAAAGGCTACAGTTTGCGCAATTGATGGGAATGGGGGACGGCCTATCTCTTGGGCTGAGGAATGCTGGGTTTCAGGTGAGCAAGTATGTGCCTTTTGGGCCTGTGGAGCAGGTTATTCCTTATCTTCTCAGGAGAGCCCAGGAAAACAGGGGTTTCCTAAGTACCTCCACCCTTGACCGACAGCTTATTATGTGAGTTCAGCCTATTTGCTGTGTACAAGATGTTTTTTCTTTTAATTTTTTTTGTTTTTTTTCTTTTTTAAATTTAGATGAGATTCCAGATTCCTGATAGTTGATAACTTTATTTTAAGGTAATTTGGTTCTATTCCAACCCAAAATTAGTGAGTTATAGCTACCTCAGTTCATGTTTGAAATTATACAGCTTTTAGCCAACTTTAAGAAATTGATTAACTAAATGAATACAACAGCAACAACACAACAACAACAAAGCCTAAATCCCACTACGTGGGGTCGGCAACAAGAATCCTTTTTTTCCATTGCGTCTTATTTAGTGTCATAGTTTCATTTAGTTCTTAATAAATTAAGATCATTTTTTATGCAAAAAGCCCTAGTCTTCCTAGGTCTACATCTGCCTTTCTTAATATAAGTTGAATATAAAAAAATTGCTCTCCTAATCGAATCATCAGATGGTCGACGTTTATTGTGACCAAGCCATCTAAGGCAACTTTCTCTAATTTTGTCCGTCACAGGAGCTACACCAACCCTATCACCTATGACGGATATAATTATTTTGCATTTTGTCTCTATATGTAAAGCCACTCGTCCACCTAATCATTTTCATCTCGGCAACACTTAACTTAGTATAATGCTTCTCTTTTAAAGGCCAATATTCAGCGTTTGAAGTTACCTTTTACTCTATACAACACAGTTTGAAGTTAGCTTCAAGTAAACCCGAATAAACTCGAATTTGCTCAACTTTAAGTCAGCTCAAAATCAAATTTGAGTTTACTGAAAAATTAAAATTTAGTAACAAGTGTTAAAAATAGGAATTGGCTGTTCTAAATAGCACAGACGCTAACCATGGTTTATTTACGTCGTGCAGCTAATATATATATGCATAAATATGTAATTATTTCAGGTTAACCAAATCAAATTTGGACAATGAAAGAAATTGTATGCATCATGGCTCGAAACATAATTCAAATAAGATTGAGTTGATCGTCACTTACCTAAGAGATCAAGTTAATTTTGAGTATTCTATAAGTTTCGCATATTCTGATCTGCCATATTGCTAAGAGAAAATATATCAAGCCAATTGCAAGTCAAGAATTTTTACTTCTAAATTGAAAAAAGTGTCTTTTAAATTACTCAAAATTTCCTTGCAGACAAATGGTTGAATAAAGGCGGGATTTTCTGGACTGGTTCAGATATTAAACTTTTTCTTATTTGTAGCTCCAATCTGTGTTATGCTTCTGCTTACAACTTAATAGAAAGAGCTTTAAATTTGGAAGGTTTTGATTTTTTATTTTATTTTTTTTTTGCTGCTGTTTGGCACTGAACTGAGGCTTTCTTGTAGGAAGGAGCTTAAAAGAAGGCTTAAAGTTGCTGTTATAGGAAAGCAGCTTTCGGAATGAAGCTAAAGGTCTACTGTTGTGGCTGGATTTGTGCTGTCTTTTTGCTTGTAAATGAAGGGGAAGGAGGTAGGTGAAATATTAACTTGCTGCTTATAGCTGTTGCATTGGTAAAAAAGGATAATGTTGTGATGATATTATTTTGTGAACTGATATATGGATTGACCATCTCTTGTCAAAATAATAGTAATCTGAAAATAAATTATGTTCTAATAAAAAATCAGGATATAAATAAGACGTGATATTAATGTTATTTTGATTGCTATCAATGAAGAAACAGATTGCTGGTGCTATTGTGTTTGTTTTATATTTTGTTTTTTATGTTTCAGGAAGTTTGAGAGATCTTGCATCTCACGTTAGACTAGCGCTTTTATTGATATTCCAAAGTATAATTTGTGGTAATGCTATATCTTCAAATTTAACCAGATTCATTGGCATGCTATTTCATTTTGTTTGTAAAAAGAATTATGTTATTAATTAACTTAGATTAATTATAAATAATTGCTGGAAACCATTTTTCTATAATTGCAATCAAACAATGAAATGCGCCAATCTTCTGGCTGTTCAATTCAAATCAGTCTCTATTCTACGCTAGTACTATACTGACAATTACGAAATAAACCTCATAAAAGATAGAACAGATAGAAACAAATAACCAGAAAGAAACATTAACATTTCTGATTAACATAGTTAGAAAACAAAAGCTCATGTGAATCAAGTTAAGTATAATTCAACTTTCTTATAAGTTTGAATTGACAAGTAAAATTTCACAGCACAAGTTTGCACTGTTTGATATAAAACTGAATTAGTCTAACTAGGTTGTATGTTTCTTCCACAACTAATTTGTTGAGCTATACATGAAGCTTGAGATAATTGAGAATAACATTTTTCGAATGAAGTATATAGTGACAACACTAAATTAGGAAATGACATACAATTCTTGGCAGGCAAATTCGATGGACAAATTTTCAGGTAAATTTAGGTAAACTTGAAGCTAGATGAAACCTCTGCTGAGTACAGCCAAGAACCAATTAAATGTTTTGAGCAGCCTCGATGATTTGAATTGATAAATTCACTACCAAGTTCATCATGTTTCTTGCTGTCTTAAACAATGTGGAGAGGTCATTGAATTTTTTGGCAACTTGCTTAAAACTTATCTTATATCTTCTTAAGATGCGTAAGCTAAACAGCCTTTTTCACAACATCTATGGAATCATCATTGCAATAACAACTATCACTAAGGAATATAAAAATTAAATCTGATGAAATGCTAAATCTAGCAATGGATCTTGGAACCTTGGCCATTCTTGTAACTTATAGTAGTGATAATCTGCCAAGGGCAATAAATCCTAAGATTGCACTTTAGTGGGATGTTGTTACAAAGGATATGCTTATTGCCAAAGACAAAGGCGAACAACTTAAGATTCTTTTAATAGAATCATAAAAAATTATTATTAAATTTCCGAGTAAACTTTTTTGTATATATAATAGGTTGATATATATTATGAAGTTAGATTCCGAGTAAACTTTTTAGTATATATAATAGGTTGATATATATTATGAAGTTAGATCAGGATAAACATTTAGTTATTCTTTCAAATACTCATGTCGGTATTTTTATTAAATTGGAAAGTAAATGAGTATTTTCTTTCCAAAGTTTGTGTGAAATAATTTATTGTTGAATTTCTCATCAACTAACCAAATTTCAAGTATTTTTAGCCTATTTTATGTAGAGTTACATTGAAAAGCGTAATGTTCTTACTTTAAACAGAAACTTGAAATGGAAGTTATTACAGATGTTAATTTTAGATGATTAGTAGTTGAGATGTTAGAAATTGATGGAAAGAATGAGAAGTTGATTTTGTTTTTCAAATCACTGGAGTTCTACTTAGGCCTTAAAAAACATTTCCTCTAGAAATTATTTAAGAGGTTTATAATTCTAAGTTAATTACTTTGCTTTGGGTTGATGATTTTGTTTAAGTTTGATGAACTTTATTTGTGGCTATGAATGATAATAATGCTAAATAGGCATTAGCCAGCCCTAAAAGGAATATGTCAAGTAGCGTTCGTGACTTAAACATGACAATCAGACTATGATTTTGTTAGGTGACTACAAGTTGAAGTTGAGCCAACTCTTTTTACCTAGCAACTAGCATTGAATTTTGTTCATTGTGAGCAACAAGAATTGGTAAATCTGATCATAATTTTAATTGGGTGCACATGACTAAAAAGTTTTAAATTTTGCTTTGGGTTGATGAACAAACTCTTTTTACCTAACAACTAGTTTTAATTGGTTGCACATGAATCTTAATGAAATTTATTAGAAGTTATTAACAACAAAAAACTTAACTAATGTAAATATTTTATTTGTTCAACATCAATTAATTAGGACGTTATGGTAGAAATAGTTAAAAAGTATGGTTATAAGGTTTTAATGAATTCATTTATTTACAAATAAATCCTTTTTTTTTGGTGATATATCAATCAAAATATTCTTTTTTAAATTTTCAGTCCTCTAAATTATAAGCATATGGCATTTATCAAACTTGATAATCATATTTCTTGATCTAGGTTACTGAACAAATTGGAGGATTACTACTCAATGTTTAATTTATGATTGGGTGTTCTCTTTTTCTATAGAGTTTTCATTTTGTGTTTATGTTTTGTGTGTTCACTGGCTATACTAAGATAGAAAGCACGGGGACTCATACCTATCTTAGATTTACTAAGCAAGGCATTGAATTGCTAAATATTTTATGGCACACAAAATCCAATGAACCCTAAACATTTCATAATCATTAAGAATAACATGGTTCAAAATTATATTTTTAAACCTAAATTTCGTTAGGCGTGGACATTAATCTTTAGTGACACATAACGCTGACCAAACGTTAACCTTTAGATCTAAGTTCCAGCTTGGATCATAGGTGAGTCCAAAGCCTAACCTATCTATGGCTCACTTATCTCCTCTAACTATTGAGTCTAATCCCATAGACTCAAAGTTCAAATGATATGACACCTAAGTTTAAACAACTTAGACTTACTCTGAAACTAAGGTCAACAATTCAAAGCCACCTAAAATAGTTAGAAAAATTAGAATGACATTTTTAAACTCTAAAATGGTTAGAAAATTTAGAATGACATTTTTAAACTCTAAAATGACAATTTTTAACCATTGAGAAATTTAAAATGACATTTCTATCTATAGGGTTAAAATTGTAAACTTCAAAAATACATTTTTAAACCTAAATTTCCTTAGGCTTGGACATTAATCCTTAGTGACACATAAGGCTAACCAAACCTTAACCTTTAGATCTAAGTCCCAGCTTGGATCATAGGTGAGTCAAGACCCTAACTTATCTAGGGTCCACTTATCTCCTCTACCTATTGAGTCTAATCCCATAGACTCAAAGTTCAAATGATATGACACCTAAGTTTAAACAACTTAGAGTTACTCTGAAACTAAGGTCAACAAATCAAAGCGACCAAGGATCAGTTTAGATGAACTTGTATATCATGAACCCTAATTAAATCTAAACCGCAGTTAAGCTTAATTAAACTTAGTTAAACCTTTAACACATTAGGTTTAACTTAACAAAACCCTAATTAAGTCTAAACCACAATTAGACTTAATTAAACCTAGTTAGACCTTAATCACATTAGGTTTGACTCAACAAATCGTACTTAAGTCTAAACAACAATTAGACTTAATCGAACCTAATTAAACCATAACGAGATTAGGTTTAACTCAAAAAAATCTAATTAAGTCTAAACCAGAGTTAGATTTAATTAAACCTAATTAAACTTTAACCACATTAGGTATAACTCAACAAAACCCTAAAGAAGTCTAAACCAAAGTTAGACAAAGTTAAACCTGGTTAAACCTTAACCACATTAGGTTTAAATCAACAAAAACCTAATGAAGTCTAAAGCACAATTAAACTTAATTAAACCTAGTTAAACCTTAATCACATTTTGTTTAACTCAACAAATCCTACTTAAGTCTAAACAACAATTACACTTAATTAAACCTAATTACTGCTTAACGAGATTAAGTTTAACTTAATAAAACTTAATTAAGTCTAAACCAGAGTTAAACTTAATTAAACCTTAACAACATTAGATTTAACACAACAAAACCCTAAATAAGTCTAAACGAAAGTTAGACTTAGTTAAACCTAGTTAAACCTTATCCATATTAGGTTTAATCCAACAAAACCCTAATTAACTCTAAACCACAGTTAGACTTAATTAAACATAGTTAAACCTTAACCACATAAGGTTTAACTCAATAAAACCCTAATTAAGTCTAAACCACAGTTACACTTAATTAAACTTAGTTTGACCTTAATCATATTAAGTTTAACTCAACAAAACATAATTAAGTGCAAACCACAATTAGACTTAATTATACATAGTTAGACCTTAATCACATTAGGATTAAGTCAACTCAAACCCTTACGTTCAACCTAACTTGAGCCTACTTAACACAAACCCCTGGATTCAAACCAACTTGAACCTCACTTAAATCAAACCTTCAGGTTCAAACCAACTTGAACCTAACTCAACCTAAACCCTTAAGTTCAACCCAACTTGGACATAAATTAACATAACCTTTGATTCAAACCAACTTGAACCTAACTCAAGTCAAAACTTCAGGTTCAAAGAAACTTGAAACTAACTCAACCTAAAACCTTAAGTTCAACCCAACTTGGACTTAAGTTAGCATCAACCCTTAGGTTCAAACAAACTTGAACCTAACTCAAATTAAACCTCCAGATTCAACCCAACTTGAACTTAACCTACTCTTAGGTTCAACTCAAGACTTTAAGTTCAACCTACATTGAACTTAAATCGACCCAACTCTAAGTCCTTACCATATTAGACTTAAGACTATCTTAGGTTCAATATTTAACCTAAATAAGTCTTAGATCCCAATCACATTGAATCTCAACTGAGTTTAAGTCCTATCTATATTGGACTTAAAATCATTTCAAACCTTAAGTTCAATCCATGTTGAACTTAAAACATCTTAAGTCCTACATATATTGGACTGAAACTGTTTTAATCTTTAGGTTCTACCTACATTAAATCGAAAACATCTTATGTCCTACCTACATAGGACTTAAACCATTTTAAAACCTTAGGTTCTACATATATTGAACCTAAAACATCTTAAGTCCTATCAAGTCCTATCTACATTTCCTATCTACATTGGACTTAAACCATTTTAAATCCTTAGGTTCTACCTATGTTGGACCTAAAAATAGTTTAAGTCTTGCCTA